GCGGAAGAAGCTTCCATTTCCTTGACTGAACCGGGGCGGACCTGTTCGTACCGCGCACAGACAGGCTGGCGTGGCGGACAAGGACATTGAAGGGTGATGGAGCGAACCCCTCGAGACCGTCGACGAGAGAGTCTAAAGTACCTAACTCGCAGGCCTCGCCGGAGCTTGGACTTTCCATGAAGCAGATCTGGCGGTACGGAAATGAGGCCAGGAGCATCTAGCGAAGCGATGATGAAGCGATGGCCGCTGTTAGGCCGACAGGAGGACGAGATATTACTGGAGGAAGAAAATAATATTGGAAGACATTTGAGGTCTGAATCGTGATATTATTTCCCCCGGGCGACTTCGCCCATTTCTTCCAGAGTTTAGTGCAAATTGTAGTGCCTAAAAATATCAGGGCAAGGTCAAGCGACGGGAGTTGCAATCTGGTATGTCGATATTGCATTCTCCAAACTTACATTGGAACTCTTGGAGAGTGTTTTTATGTTTTCGGGGTCGGTGCAATAATTCCCGTCGTACCAAGTACTCAAGCACTCGACATGGCCCCGTTGTTGTCTCGTGTCTCTTTTTAGCGCGTCGCTTAAGCACGTCTTGTATGTTCCTAAATTTTACGGCTTGGGTGTACGTGCAACGCATGGGGTTTGCATAAAGATCCCATCCTGGAGTCATGTTCTTCAAGCGAACAATTTTAAAGGCAACTCCGAAGGATTACAGTAGTGGCTTCTCTAAATCTTGCGTGAATGACAAGCATTGAGGGTGACCCACACGAGGCAGCTTCTCCACAGGCTTGGAATACATCAATGATCGCAGGTTAGGCGAGCCGTGTCATCTCCAGCGTCATGACTGGAGTTTGAAAACCGTTATTATTACGCGGTCTAAGTAATGGGGGCATTATTACCTGCCGGATAAAATCCAAAAGCCTCAATTGAAAGAGAAAACAAATTGTACAGGAGCGATGCAGATCAATTATATTTACAGGTCTCAACTTCATTTAGGAGTATGCACAAACTTGAGCTGGGACGGGACGTTGCCGGGATTTCCTTGCCTGGAGGATGCTCAAACGAGGAAAAAACCGAGCCCGACAGTTGCTCATCGACCCTGGACTTTTCGAAGTCTGGAACCGTTCGCTTGACAGCTTTTGGGAAATACTGGAAACTGCAGCCCAACTATTATCTTCAATCGCGGTGACCAATATTATGTACAGCGAGCAAGTGCCGAGAGTACAATTGTACCTGTAACTGCCATGGAAGAAGGTGCAAGAACACATGCAATCACGCTTCCCGGTGTACTTCGTACATTGTGTCCACTGCTCTTTCCGCTCCGTATCACAAATAAATGTGCGCATGGCACATGCTCACATGTGTCGCTGGAGCGAAGATGGGTTCTTGCCTCATATTTTACTAGCTTACCTCTGATGCTCTCGAGGAATCCGAAAGCCGAGGGACTTGCTGCAGCGATTGATCGACGGGCCAAGGTAACACCACTGACGCATTGGCTCTGAACGAGACAATTTTGTATTTCGTAGTGTAGTGAGAAAAACAAAGGACGCTGATGGCAAGACAGCATTCGTGCGTGGGTAACTCCCGGAAGGAACGGGGTGCACGCTCCGGGGGTATCCACTACATCGGCCACTAGTGTTCCAAGGACGCATTAGTGCTGAGGTTTAGTGTACATGTACATGAATCCTGGCTCTCCTTCGTTGACGCATGCAAGTTGACCCGATCCCCGAGACCCGAGGAGTGAATGACAGGTACTCGCGAGTACTGGTTCCACGCTCCGTTTTCAGTGAATTTCTCCGTGTGTGACAGGTACTTAAATCTTAGTTTTAGGTCCCCAGCTCGAGAGCCAGGCGAACTCGCGTCCTTGAGCTAGTGCAGGCTGGTCCAGGACTCGAGGAAAGAGCAAGGGAGTCCCTGGGCGGTATTTGCTCTATCGGAGCTTCCTCCCGGATGCCGCCGCCAGTCCTCGCCAGTCCTCTGTACTTGTAATAATATTCGATGCCCTTGTCATTCATTGACTTCTACACTGTAAAGTTGAAGGTGGAAAGAGAGGGCCTGAGAGTGGGAGAGTGCCACCAGGATTAACGAGCCCGTTTCATCTGAAGTCACTCACCGACAGACACACACACGCACGCGCACACACACACTCTCTCTCTCCCTCTCTCTCAAATCGCCTGTGCGCTTCTACCAGTATTACTAAGGAAACTGCCCCGTTCAAGTCGGCTTCGATATCAGACGAACTCGGTAGTGTCATGAGCCCGAGGGGCTTCAGAAGCACTGAAGCATTGGGCGTTGGCGTCAGGTTTTCCCGTCTTCTTGGCTGCGCATTCTGCTATCATCGGGTTGCTACATTTCAATGTTCCATCCCAAGAAGCACTGAGGATTCTACTTGCGACTCCGCTTCATCCACTAAAGCGGATAGCGCAAGTCTCAATGCCTTAAGAGGCCTTACTATACTCCATCCTGCCCCAATTTGGGATACGGCCACTCCGAACTCAGCAATGGGGTCTTCAGTGCACCCGTCAATACACCACCTGCCGTCCCGTCCTCTCGAGAGTACGAGTACTGTACATGAGAGGGCTACTGGAAGGGCCGGCCGTTGATCGCGAAAAGTTAATCCCCCGGAGCAGGGACATGCTCTCTTCACCCCCTTGTCTCACGAGCCCATCGATCTCCTTCTTCTGTCAGTCATCAGTCTCGTGGCCGCCACCCTCCTTCGTCGAGACCCTTGATCAAACAACAGAGATCAGTGATGGGGTCTCGACCTTTCCCATTCACTGGCCTGCTGCGTCTGCCCAGTGCTCGCCACTTCGCCTGTGCAGGCAGAGTAGGTCCAAGCATCAATGTCAACTTCGGAAAGGCAGGGGTTAGTCGTTCGTCCAACCCGATGATGAACGGCTGTAACCTCGTTCCGAGTATTCGTCCCATTCTCAGGCTTGGAACGGCAATGAGTCGAACGCAAGACTCACAGCTTATTTCATGGCCTGCAGATTTAATTGCTCAATCCGTCATCGCGCCGTACTTTCGTCTCTGCTGCCCTACGTAAAGGAATTAGAGGAGCCGCATGAGAGTTGGAAACCGGGACTCTCACGTCTCGCGCCCAAGGAAAGCAGAGTGATCGAGTTTCCCTGTGTAGGAAATAGACCTCGACACGGGCGGGTAAATCTCAGAGTTTTCGGGATCAGACAAATCGTCCTCGCCTACGTTGCTGTCGAGCCCGTCGGATTCAGCTGTTTCCGGGGTTTCTGCTTTCCCCAACACCAGCCTTCCCATCAACATTGATCTTGACTCCAGGAAATCTCCATCGGCTTCCTTGATTCCCAGCATTACCACATTCCCTTCTAATTGGCAATCTTGGGTCGTTCCTAGCTTTCGAAGCCTGCCTGTTGCCGATCGAGCGCTCTATCATCTGTCATCTGTTCCCTGCTTTTCCTCCTGGCTTTTCCTACTGGAACCTAGCTTCCGATCGATCCTCCGCAAAAGAGGCACGCCCCCTCCCACACTTCTCTTCGAAAAGCATATTGCTTTACCACCTCACAGGCTCACAGTACTTGTACTTCGTCCACTGCATTCCACATTCCACATCGCACCCCACCCTCTCTCCCCCACCCCTCCCCCTTGTCTGCCCTGCTAACCCCAGTCAAGTAGACTCAGAGCCATCCCCCCCCTTGTCTTCAAGACTGTGGATTGTATCCTTGCCCTTGCCACAACTCACTACCGCTGCAAAGTACACTATTGTGCCAAGTACGAAGTACCTTGCCATATGGCTCTTTATCCCTGCCCGCTTCGCGGCCTCTGAGTACTTCGTACTTCCTGCGTCCTTAACTTTCTCTCGCATCAAGCCTGACTCGAGGTCGTCTCACTCTAATCCCCCATATAACACTTCTTTATTATTGACCCTACACCTCTCTGGGTTACCTCCTCCATTCTCTGCAGTCTCTCTCTCACACACATGCCTCACCTGAACTCCACATAAACCGTACTTAGTCTTTGAGTTCAGCACCACCACCTCTGCCTGGCTTCGTGTGGCCTGCCCTGTCTATTTCTCCGTGCACGCATCCTGGTCAAGCCTGCTGCTACTGCATTGGGGCATCTCTCCCGTTCCTTCGACTACGACCTACCTACTCGTTACGTTTCCACACACGTACTTCGTACACACACACATGCCACCCCCTCCTCCTCCACGCCTTTGAAGCCGATCGACGTACCTCAGTACTGGGTACTCTTTAAATCCAGCCCACTCCCGCGTTTTGGCTTGCTCATCATAACGTCTCAGACACGGCATTGCTATAACATCCCCCAGAATACAACTCCAACCACTACTTATTGTTCTTATCCTCTACTACGTATACCAGAATTGTCACCGTCTGCCCTCCAAGCCCAGATTCTTAGAGAAACCCGGTTCCCTTTTCCTCCAGCGTCGACTTCCAGGAGGGGTAGCGAAACCAGCAACCCCAACATTACAAGAACCAGGGACTCCCCACACTTAACCCAGCATCTCGACTCTCCTGGGACCTCCCATTCCAACTTCCCTCCGATCTTCGATTCCAAGTTATATATCGATCAGCCACACCTTACAGCCGGAAGTGTTAAAGAAGACCCTTTCCCCAAGTGTCTTGCTCCTTGCTCTCTGCTCCTACTCTTCATCCCACAACTGTCCAGTCTCGCCTCACCACTCTTGAGTTTTCCCTCTTCGCTTCTCTTTGTGACGTCGGCAAGATCGAATCAACTGAGAGTTCACGAACTCGTCGGCGCATACTTATTCGAAGCCTCGAGACGTTTTAGCTCTAGCTCATAGAGTGTGTGCGCCAGCCCGCTGAAGAGCCTGGTTCATTGGTGTTTGGTGCTTAACGCAAACGTGGTTTTTCGTCCCATCGAGAGCGCCTCTTTCTGCCACATACTAGGCGTCAGCTATTCCCGTCTCTTCGACGGACAAAATTCCAAACGAACCTCCCCCGCAACGGCTCTGAAGTGCCATCAACCCTTCAGTTTCTAAGGCTCATGAGCATCGCAATCCAGGCACCTCGCAGTTTGGAGCCTCTTTACTGCCAGGGAATATACAACGGCCGCCTCGAGTCGACGTCCCTGGATTTGCCTAACCAGTCGTATCCGAACACGGGAACATCGAATCTCATGTCAGCTATGACGAGTGGACACAATCCTCGCCACCCGTATGGTGGCTATCCAGCCCCCCAGCCCCGGCCTCCCCAGTACGATCCCATTCAAAATTCTCCCTCCCAGTTCGCCCAAGGCCATACTCCTCCCGCCCAGATGCAGCGACTACCGATGATGACCCCTCCCGCACCTATGCCTACCGCTTCGACTCCGACTCTCACTCAGTCTCCTGTACTGCAGCAAGAGCCCGGCTCATATGTTGGATACTCGCCTACCACTGAACCTGCTTCGCCAACGCCACCCTTCACTTTGACCATCCGGCAGGAGCCAGATCGAGCCAAAGTAGTCCTTGGTAAGGACAAAGGTAAGAAGATATCAGCCTCTCGCGGCCCAGCCGTTATTTCACCTGGTGCGGGAAAGAAAAATGGCCTAACAAGTAGTCCAGATCGAAAGCCTGTTGACCCTCCCCCGATCCTGCAACTCGAAGTCCCTCCCCAGAACAACCACATTCTTCAGAGTGAGTAATTTTAGAAATGATCCTCGCTTGGACCTCAATTGTGGAGTGGCAACACAGGCTGACTGTCGGTTTGAAATTTAGGCCCTTACCATTTCGTCATGGCTTTCCTCATCGACGAGAAGGAGGATACTCCTGTTTCGTGCCAAAACGGCAATCCTCTTTTTGGCACCCAAGTATCCAGCCTCCACAAGCTCAAGGACACTAATAACCAAGACGGTGGATTCTTTGTTTTTGGGGACTTGTCCGTAAAGGTTGAAGGAAAGTTCCGGCTCAAGTTTACGCTTTACGAGGTATCCAATGGAGAGGTTGTCCAGCTTGGTGATATTACGTCCCGCGTGTTTGAGGTTTACTCGCCGAAGCATTTCCCAGGAATGGAGGAGTCAACTTTCCTTACCCGATCGTTCAGCGACCAAGGTGTCCGTCTTCGCCTTCGGAAGGACTCGAGGAGTATGACGACCCGAAAGCGAAACAGCCAGGCAGCGAAGCTCGCCGATCAAATGTCGCAGCAGCGATATCAGCCCCGAGCGCGGATAGAGCCTCCGCCACCTTCAGCCTACGAAAGCATGCACCAAGGAAACGGCTGGTGGACCAGCCACAGCAGCCCACATACACCAGGTGCCGTCAGCGCCAGTGGGCCTCCAAGTGCAGGGCCGTACGGACCCACGAGTCAGACCGGAGGGTACGGCGCAGATCCCTCTGCTCCGCGCTACGGTCCGCAATAACTTGACGCGTGCGATCTTTAGGTATTTCATGACATTTACAATCAACGACCGGAAGACATGACTTGGCGGTAGATATCCTTGGGAAATGGTAACGTGACTGGACTAAAGGCGAGCAGGAAGACAAAAAAGAAAAAAAAAAAAACGACGAGAAAAAAAAAAATCAAAAGTGATAATTTCCTTTCGGACGTATCATCACCTTCATCTTTCTTTGGTTCGCATCAATACCCCTTTTGGTGGGCGTTTATGGATCTGGACAAGGGCATCGGTATTTCTTTTCCCATCTCTTATCTCCTTCTTTGGTTTGCTTCTTGCGTTAGGGCTCATATTCTATCATGATGTCGGTCGGGGCATTCTGGAGACTGGGATATTCACTTCTAGGTGGCGAGGAGGCGGGCGTGTCTGTTTTTGGTTTCTCGTTTCTCTCTCTCTACCTTTTTATTTTTCCTCGACAGAAGTGGTAGACATTTCCTCCCTTTTACTCTCTTGTCCTACGAGACGACTGGGGAAAAAAAACCTTTACATATAGTGTCTTATTCTCTATTTCCGTCCCCTTATTTTTCACAGAAAGACTGCTCTTTTGTTTTTATAGTTATGTGGATGCGAGACCCCTCGCGGGGCCAGTTGGTGTTCCTTATCCTAGTCGTGTCCTTCGAAAATACAAACGTATTGCAATGAATCTGATGCCTGATAGTCTCTCTATCCTATGCCATTGTTTCTGTGTTCTTTTCTAACCACTGGCTGCTATTAATGGTTCTAAAATACGAGATGGGAGTGTAACCACGATCAATTGTAGAAGAAGAATGTTGGATCCGTCAAAGGTAACATTGAGGGCCCGGGCTGATCCGCAATGGTAGGATCCAAGGACCGTAGACTATTATGATCTACGAAGTACGAGGTTGTCACGAGTTGGCCAGCCGTGATAGTATACCCACAGGGAAACATTTTCGCTCTCTAATGAGGGACCCTACCCTATTCTAGGTGGCAGAATAGAAGCGGAGGAAGCCCCATGGGGGAATGCTCCTTCGATCTACTGCGTTCTGTTCCAAGACAGATCTACTTGGCTGAGGACTGGGAACATAGGCCCCCCCTTTGTGTGGTACTATTAGTCGAGGTTAAGGCTACTCAGGGAGTTACGAGGAAAAAGCGACAAGGCCTTTTTAAGAAGTGGCGGGCAGGGGCAGTTTCGACCTCATCTTCTTGATGATGGTCTACCGTTTTTGCCAAACTACGAATATCAGGTATCTAGAGTTTCTCCCTCGCCGTTTTCCAATCTCGCCACCTCAATTATTTCAGGGTCTCCTGTTCATAAGACCCTTTTTTTGTGCATTAGAGTGTTTCGAGTTTCCTCTAAGCTTAAAGGCCGGAGAAAGGGGGGGGAGGCCACGGGACGATGGGCTCTAATCTCCAGGCATTATCGCGGCGAAATGTCAGAAGAGAAAAAGAAATGCTATACCCACATCGTAATACTTCAGTATGCAGGTATTGACGAAAAGGGAACCTGCTTCTTGTTGTGGTGTCCTATTCGGGGTATATTAACCCCCCCATTAGCAAAAGGATAGTACATTAGGGGAGTTTTGAGCCGCCCGGACGTCTGTAGCAAGCAAGCGAGTGAAAAGTCTGGTTCTGTTTTTGTTCCCTGCGAGAAGATGTTTCAAAACAAGAGAGTGGAGGGGCGGGGTGGGCGGTGGTTGGGATTTTGGATTGGGGGCGATAGTGGTTAGAGCCCGGGAAATGTTTACTGCGGAAGGTCGGTGTGAAGTGCCGGATGCAGGTGGTTATGGGGTGGTGGACTCTCTCTGTGCAGACGGACTTGGCGGGTAGTTCCCGTGGAAGGTCCCAAGGGAAGAGTCAAAAACGGGAAAGGTCAGTAGTGTATGGCCTTATTCTCGGCGGAACCCAAGACGCGTGGGAAACGTTCAGTTGTTTCCTTATTCAGGAGGAGGGGGCACATTAGTGAGCAGAAATGGCCGTCGCCCTGCGTCCCCCTTGTGACTAGTAGAAGTTCTACACTCAGACTCGTACACCAGGAATACTAAGGCGGACTCTGTGGCCAAACCCTGTTCTTAATGTTCGTTCAATGATAAACTTGGAAGACAATGATGTTGGTGATATAGGGGGAGTGGGGACTGCGTCTGTTGGCGTGATATGTGGGTGCTAATGTCTCAGGAGAGAGTTCGCGTAATGGGATAAGGAAGGCGGAGGCGAGAGGGAGGCGGGACTAATGCGGGGACTGAGGATATTGCGAGCGAGGAGGGTGTTGGAATAAGAGAGAGGAGGGGAGCGAAAGAGGAGATTTTCGACTGAAATTGGTGTGTACGTGTACATCGAGGACGGATACGCGAAGGCCATGAGGAAGGGTTCGATGGTGGAGAAAGGGTAGCCAGAAAGAAAGCAAGACCGGTTCCTATGGAGTCGTGGTACACCCTATTGTGTTCGAGGAGCCGGCCAGGGTCGGGTGGTTGGACGGATTGTGGGTCGGTAAGGGTTGGATGGGGCAGGCGGGCAGCGATGTTCTGCGGTAATATGTTGGGGAAATATAGGAATCATGGACGGGCCAGAACTCTGTCGTGATGGTGGTTGGTTGAAGAGTACGAAAGGGAAGGGGGGAGAGGGTGTGTCGCCTTGTCTGAGGGGAACACAATATGTGTATGGCATCCAGGTCGGCCAAACTCTGTCCACGAACCATCCTCGAATGGGATGTGTGCCGGAGTGGGTACGCTAGAATGCGGCGACACGGGTACGACAATTACTATCATGTGAAAACTATAGGGAGGGGGTTACCACAGCGAAAGGCCCAAAACCAAGAGAGGAGGAGGGGGGTGGTGGTAAGTTGCTCTTCCCTCCTAGAGAAGGAATTGCGTGGGAAAAGTTCATAGACTTGGCGGGAAGCGGAGGCATGGCCGTCATGCGCTGACACGTAGACCCGTGTCCTCTTGGTCTCGATATGGTATCGTCGAGGACATTGGCGATACGAGCGAGGCGTCGCATGTGGAGTATCGAATCCGTAAGAGAGGGGATATAATATCGACGAGTATATGAGGAGCCAGAAAAGAGACTCGAGGGTATAACAAAACTAAACAAAAGGGACGGAACTGGTGATCAGAATTGGCTATCCACTTGGTGCTCATTCTCCGCATTAGGGTAAGTCCGTTTTCTCGCCCCTTCGCGCCGGACTATCTCCAACCGTGGGCGAGTTGGGCAGCGGCTTGTCGAGGGGTCCAGCTCAGAGGATCCATTTCTCTGCCATGTAACGTCCAGGGTCTTCCCGGGGTATCTGAAGGGCCTCCTCTATTATAGGGTGAAGAAATAAGGGTAACGGTATATATATGTTCTGGGGAACCTTGGGAGATTGTTGAGATGGATGGGGCCGTCGCGGATTGCGAGACAAGGGTTGAGTGAGAGTGAGAGGAGGAACCAGAATCGGATGACACTGGTAGTGCGACATTGGCATGTGGAGACCTTGAAGAATGGTTCCCATGCCATCACGAACACGAACGGGTAAGCATGAAAATCTGGAGAGGGCAATAGGATGGAGCAGGCTTGAGGGAGCTAGCTCGGTCAAGCTTAAACGTCCTCGGCCAGAAAGATTGGGGAGAAATGACGAGTCGAAATTGCGACGGCACTACTTCGAGTGACATGTTCATGTCTGTTTGGGTGTTAGCACCAGTATTGTCCAGAATCTTGATAAATGAGTTGAGTTATAGGTATGGGATGGGGACGGGCTACCAGCTAAGACTGACAGACTTGGGCCGTTTGTCGACTGAGGAGACCCTCCAGCTAAGCTGCGGTTCGCAGGTGCCGGGAACCACACTTTGGAGATTATGCGGAAGCTCGCATTTGACGGATTGGGGACATTAGCTGACAACAGCTTGAAGTTCCCGAAGATTGAGCCGCGTCTGAAAGTCGTAAGCGTGCCGAAAACACGTTCCCGTCCCATCGTCGATATTCTTTCTCTCATTCCCTCCTCCCTTTGGCTTATTTTCCGGGCTCATTCCGGTCCCAAACAACAATAATGAATCGAGGAGGGCTTAGGACCAGACTCTTCAGGCCACAATTCCCGGAAAAACAAAAGCTAAGCGAAGGCTCTGGAGCTGGGAGGATCGGCACCAGCCGGCTTTCACAAACAACTCGCCTCTTTTTTTTCCAATTCATCCGGAGAGATGAAGTGGCAGGATTTTGGAGCCGGCGTCGGTCTCAAACCCGTTTCTTCGCCTCGACCGCACAGAGAAAGGGTGAGTTCCTGGTTTTGGCTCGGCGGTCTCTGGGATTTCAAAGGTAGCGAGCGGCTCATGGTCGCTCTGTGCCTTGCCTTGGCCTTTGCTTCTGTCAATAACCCCCCAATTTCGGATGTTGATCTAAATACCGGATGTGGCGTCGAAGGTGGGATTGAACAGTCTATGTCGAATCTTTCTCCGAACACCATCGTCGTCCATTGTGTCCATCAGTCTTCAAGGGTTGAAGTTAAAGTTGAAGCGTGCTGCCAAATTAGGAAATTCCAACATTTCGGGACGGACTTGAGGCGCTTCAGGGTGCTTAGTCATCCATCTTCTTCTCGTCCCTCGACCATTTGCGGCTTCTCAGTGTGCCTCTTTTAAAACTGTCAATCCTCCTGATCGCAGATCACAGCATGACAGCCAAGGGCCTCATCTGCACTCTTTTCGGTCTATCTCAACCCTTCTCCTCCGGAATGACCGGAAACCGGGGATTGCTATATGAAGTACCTGTCGTCGTGTCGTGTCGTGTCGTGTCGTCGGTCCCTGCATGACTAGGGGCCAAGAGGCGTTCGTCTGCTGGTCCCGGTATCGATCCCTCTCCAGATCTGGTTCACCGGCAGAGGAAATGCATTCCAAATCTCTTTGGCCTAGATGACCTCGAATCGTGGACTTGCGACGCAACACCTCGGCTGAATTGGTACCGTACAGCAAGACAGGGGAGCAAGGAGATCGGATGCCACGATAGTGCCACACCCAATTGTACTTGGATACTTGGAATAAACGGTT